GAATGGTAAAATACAGTTATAAGCATTGGAGGTTCCTACAGGAGAACGGATGTCAATGGTATGAATCACATAATCTAGTGGCTCAATTTTTAGATTCCAGCCTTTAGGAATATCAGGCAAGTTACTGTGAAAATAAACCCCAACTAGACAAACTAAATTACCATTTAATAAAGTGAAAAGAATGAGGATAATGGCTACTGCATCTTCCTAAAAAAATTAAAAGTAAATAACTATGTTAAAATCTGAATAGAAGCCAAAATAAATTATGCTCTATTAATAACTTCCCCCTGGTCTCTCATGCAGTTAAATGATCTTCCTATAACATTTACATTTTATATAATTCTTAGTGTCTTCTAGGGACAATTTTACAATTATTATAAAATTGTAAGGCTATAAAAGTAAAACTCCTTAATTTGGCTTATGAGAGTTTTCAAAATTGTAGCACTTTTCTACTCTCACCAGTGACTAGTCACTTCCCACACATCCTGTTAAAATATTTTTATATATACATGACCATATTTTAGATAAGTATAATTTTTTAATATTTATTCATTTCTTTTAGTTTAGGTGGACACACTATCTTTTTTTTTTATATGGTTCTGAGAATCGAACCCAGTGCCTCTCGCACGCTAGGCAAGCAAGCTACCACCTGAGCCACATCCCCAGCCCTAGATAAGTATAATTTTAAAAAGTCTTTGTAACTGGGATATGGACCAGTTTCTAAAATATTTATTTATTTTAGTTGTAGGTGGACATGATATCTTTATTTTTTATGTGGTGCTAAGGATCAAACCCAGTGCCTAACTGCTAGGTGAGCACTCTACCACTGAACTACAACCCCATGAGTAGTTTTGTTTGTTAATTTTTTTTTTTTTTGTATTGTATATGGACAGAATGCCTTTATTTTATTTATTTTTATGCAGTACTAATGATCGAACCCAGTGGCTCACAAATGCTAGGCAAATGCTCTGCCACTGAGTTACAGCCCCAGCCCTGGATTAGTTTAATTTTTTAAAAAAATTTTTAGTTGTAGATGGACACAATACCTTTATTTATTTATATGTGGTGCTGAGGATTAAACCTGGTGCCTCACACATGGTAGCCGGAGCACTCTACAGCTGGGCTATGAGCTCTATGGCCCAGCCCCCTGGACTAGTTTTTAATAGAAAATGGGCATGCATATTTTGTATAAACACACATTGTACTTCAATTAAAAAAAAGTACCACTGGGAATAAAGTGAATAAAAAATTGTGTCATAGTAATTATCTTTATCTCAATAAAGAAAACACTGAAAACCAGGCATAGTGGCATACACCTGAAATTCCAGCAACTTGTGAAGGTGAGACAGGAGGACAGGGCTGGGGACATAGCTCAATGATAAAGCGCTCCTGGGGGTTCAATCCCAGTACCAAAAATCCAAAAAACCAAAACCAAACCAAACCAAAACAAAACAAAACCTCCCCCCAAAAAACCCCGACAAAAAACACTTGAGACCTCTGAGAGGAAGTAAACTGTAGATTTACAGTTTATCTTTATTAATTATCTTTATTAAAGATTCAACATATGTACATATGTTGAATCTTTAATAAAGATAATTTTTGTAAGGAGTTATGTTTCTTTTAACAGTAACAAATATATCCTCTAAAAGTTATTAAAAGTACTAAGAGTTGTTGTTTTCCATAATAAAAGCTAGGAGAAAATGATAATTTCAGTAGGAAGTAGGCTTTAAGAATTACATACCACATAATCATTACATGCACTTGGATAAGAGTAAAAAATAGTTTTATCCATAATTTGTAGTAATTAGGGTAAACCCTAGTCACTCCTTACAAGAAGTTTTCAATTTTCCACTTACTTCATGGAACCATCATAGTTCCCTGTTTTCTTCAGAGATGTTTGTAAAACACCAAGGGTCAAGCACAGTGCTTGGTACACAGAAAGGGGTTCGCTATTTTTGAATGAACAAATTATTGAACAAAATGAACACAATGGGCTCTCAAATTCTCTTAGGTACACTATTATGCCTATTATGTGCTTCGGCACTTCTCCATGTCAATCATGATGTATTTCCTTTCCTTTATCCCTAAAAAGACTTTGGTTATTCTTTCTTCCTTTAGAAATCTAGAATCTATAATTACCCTGATCTCGCTTGAAACACCTCATTAAACAATAAAGGATACCCCCCCACCCTTTTTTTCCCTGGGCCTTCCCTATGTCTCCAGCATAGCTCTCTTGAAGCAGGGACTGACTCTAGCTGAAGGTGTTTTAAAATAAAACCCCTAGAATACAAGTTCTGGCTTCCTCTGGTTATCTGAATACTTTACATCCAACTCCTACTTACAAATAATTAGTTCATGAGCAATTTTATCAATGTCACACCAACATATTTATACATCAACCTACTGCAGTTAACTTCATAACAATGGGGGAAACGTGAAAAAAACAAAACAAACAAAAAAAAAAACCCTGAGCATTCTATTATAAAGTCCAGTAATTGAGTTCAAATATTTTGTGTATGAAATGACTAAACATGTTGGGCAAGATGGTTCATTCCTGTAATCCCAGCGATTTGGGAGACTGAAGCAGTAGGATTCAAAGTATAAAACTAGCCTCTGCAATTAAGGAGAGCCAGTCTCAAAATAAAAGGGTGGAGGATGGGCTGGGGTTGTGGCTCAGAAGTAGAGTGCTCGCTGAGCATGCAGGAGGCACTGGATTTGATCCTCAGCACCGCATTAAATAAATAAATTGTGAGGGGAAAAAAGGGTGGAGGATGTAGCTCAGTGGTGGGGAATCTCTCCAGTACAGATAGATAAAAATGCCTACATTCTACACTTGTTCTAGTACATCTATGATTTGGCCTAATTGTATCCTTAGATACATCAGGGTTTTTTTTTTCCCCCTTTGTGATAGGTTAAAAAAATTAAAAATGATTATTTCAGTTTTCAGGGTATCTGAAAATGCTATGAATACAGGACACTTCTTACAATAATCTTTTTGTGCTAGAAAGCCCATATTTACAGAATCTCCTTATATTTTAGTTACTTTTCACCTATTTAGGGTGGGCCTAATGGCAAAAGTGTCTCCTGTTAAGAGTCAGTGAATGATCTGGCACACATTTTCTTTCCCATATTGATTAGACTCCTGAGTATATGCCCCAGCAATCTTCAATCTCCCTCCATGGACAAATGTATTAAAATCTGTTTGTTCTACCTAACACTGCAGGAAAGAAAAAAACTTCAAAACACCTTTTTTTTTTTTTTTTTTCCTGCTACCAAAAAGCCAAAACGGTTCCCCTTCTCTGTACTGCTACCATTCAAAAACCAAACTCAACATTCACAGGTTTTTTTTTTTCCTTTCAGGCTAAGTAGTTTGTCTGATGCCAGATTCTGCCCTTAAACGACCAATCAGCAGATAATTTTCTTAAATACCATCAAAATATTATAATACTCAGTAAGATTCAATTGCGTAGATGAAAAGTTTGGTACTATAAGTTTTCTTTCTTTCAAAGTTCAAACAGGATAATCTATAAAGGGTGGGCAATTAGGTAGAAATAATATATTTCAGATATTTAACCCAAATCTTCAATAGATTTTTCTATTTTAAGTATTCCAAAAAGTATACCACTAAATATTGTGTTAAATGCTGACTCATTAATCACTTGAAATTCTTTAAGCTAAAAAACTGCAAACGATTAGGATTTTGGAAGAAAAAGATCGATGCACAATTAAAATAGTCGAAAATTTTCAACTTTCTCATTGAACTATTTGTTCAATATCAGAATGTCTCAATTTCAATTTGAATAGTCTACAGTATTAAATACTGGATTGAAAAATCTGACATCCAACCGCAAAATCACAAACGCCACAGAAATCGGGAGTGGGTACAGAAAACCGGAAAGTGGCAAAATGTTTCCAAGCTCTTTCAAATTCCTTGAGATGCTAAATTAGGGACAAAAGGATGAGGTTCCAAGGATACAAAGTTTCATCTCTGTTAGGACAAATAAAACACTGGATTTCGAGTTGTGAAACATTCTATTAACATGTGTTTTGACTCCTGCGTGGATCCGCATCGGATCACGTCGAACAGTCAAGTCTTTTTCTTGTTTACACCAAGTGCTGGTTTTGAAGACGGCGCAAGATGGAATTCCGGGTCCACCCCTACTTCTGCCCCACAGGCAGCTACTTAACAGATAATAAGGAATTCAAGTGGAGGGCCTCAAGGTCTTATTTCCATGCTAATTTCACAGCATCGTTACTTGCGACGTGATAATTAAGGTGTAAAGGGGGTGGGGGCTTGAGCGAAAGTGAATCTCCTGTTACTAAAGGGCTTTCCTTCTAATATTAAATTTGCAAGAAAATTACCCAGTTATCAGTGAAATTTACAACAGCTCAACTCTGCCGCTGCAACAATTGTTATTTTTCGCTATCTTTTCATGGGGGTTAGTGGGGTGGGTCCCACCTCCTCTGAAGCTTGAGTAGGCGTTTTCCTCCTCCCCACACTGACCTGTTTCTCGCCCCCCCCCAAAAAAAGAGTTGCGCCTACTAGCCTTGCTCCCCCAGCGGGAATGATTTGAGGAGGCTGGTATTCAAAAACTGGAATGTCTCTAAGAGGCAGCAGGTGCAGGCAGCGCTGGGACCCACCCGACCGAGGGAAGGAAGATTCCGAGAAGCCCTTTCCTCCCAAACACGGCACTAGAAACCTCCCCCCGAAAAGTGCCGCAGAAACTATGAGCATCACTTTGCGGTCATCAGAGTCTCGGGCAGGATGCGGTTCTCTCTCCACGGTGCGAGCGCAACCCCGGGCCCTAGCCGGCTCCGATTCGCGACCGCGATTCCTCGGCGCTCCCGCCCGAGGGCAGGGAACAGCTCCCCTCCGCGTCCTCCGAGACCCCCCGTCTCGGCCCTCTCCGGCCCAGGATCTCTGGTCCCTGGGGACGCAGCATCTCCAAGCCCTCGTGAGGTGGTCCCCAGAACACTGGCCCGAGCATCGCAAGACCCACCGCAACTTCCCAGAGGCGCCAATTCTAAATTCGCCGGACCCGCCGCCGCCTCCGCGCGCCCCTCAGCTCGCTCCGTAGCCCCCTCTCCCTCCCTCAGGAGCCCCTGCGTCCTGCGCGGCGGGAAAGCGCCGCCAGGTGCCTCCCGGCCCCTGGGCTCCCGTCGGACGTCTGCTCCGGCAGGGGGCCCCGCTCCTCCAACCGCCGCGGCCGCGCGCCCTCACGCACTCACCGGTCCAAGCCGGAGCGGCCATCTTAGCGCGCACCCCCGGCCCGCGCCCCAGTTCGGCGGCGGGGGCTGCAGGTCCCGCGGCTACGTCAGCGCTGACGCCGCCTGCCCCGCCCCTCCCTTCCCCGGCCGCGGGCCCGGCGGCCGCTTCCCGAGGGCGCTCCCGGCCCCCGGCCGAGTCGGCACGCACGTGGCCCTGCGCGGACGACAGCAGCGCCTCCAGGGCGGGCTCCGCACCCGTCGTGGCCATGGGGCCCGGAAGGTAAACCAGCTTTTCCTCGGTGCGGGTGAGATGCGGAGTATTCCGCAGGCGCCCATCACGTTCCCGGAATTTCTGCGAATCCCACGGCATCGAACTGTTGGGCAGAAACGCGAGCCAGTTCCCTTCCCTTCAAAATCTGCCCAATTTCAGAGGCGTAGAAATTCCTTCAGAGAACCTCACCTCCCGGTGCAGGCGGCCGGGTGTAAGCCCCCGGGGCAGTGACCGCTGTGAATTGGGCTTCTTCACACAGCGGCAGGGTCACTCAGGGTCCAGAATGGGAACGCCCAGAGGAGGGAGATTGAAGGAGCGCGATCCCAGTCGGCGGCGCAAGTTGGGCAAATTTGCAATTTCCAATTCCGGATAATGAAGTCGAAGTCGATACCTTAAAGAAACAAGAATAGACTGGAGTGGGGTGGGAGGATGAGATCTGCAGGTACCTAAAAATTAATCCGTTAATGTTTATGGAGCTCTTCTCTCTGCTCAGCTTTGAGCCAGTTCTACCTCAGGTACCCTGTGGGGTACTGGAAATTCTTCTCAAGGGAGAGTTTAAAAAGCCACAAGTCGAACGTGCGAAGTCAACCTGTCCGCGGAATGAAAATCTTTCAGTAAGGCGAGCTCCAAAACCGTCTTTAAATCAACAGTTACCCTCTAGGGAATATCTTTCCATTGGAGTGACCAACGGGGGCGGAAATGACACAATGGTATCTGAAGGGATGAACTGTCTAACCGAAGGAAAATGGCTAAGGTCGGACAGAGAAACGTTTGGGAATTCTTAGGTAGGTAACAAAATAACAATAGGGTCTAATCGAGTCATATTTGAAAAAAAAAAAAAGCCGAATATGTGCATGAGGATTATAACTTCGAAGTGTAGTTATGCAAATAAAGATTAAAGGAATGAACTTGCATAATTTAATGGTTCAATCTTCTTTTCCTATAAATAGTGGCATACAATTCCAATTCAGTTCAGACTCCAGTGCACTCCCCCCAATTGAAACACAGGAACTAATGTAATCTTGCCTACCACCTGGATATCTAAAAATTACTGAAAGCATTACATGATCTTTGGGGAGGCAGTTGCTGCTTCTGGGAATTGAAACCAGGACCTGGAGATGCTCCACCATTGGGCTACATCCCCAGCCTCAATGACACCTCTCTCTCTTTTTTTTTTTTAATATTTATTTTTTATTTGGTGCTGAGGATCCAACCCAGGGCCTCGGCTTTTGCTAGGCGATAGCTCCACCGCTGAGCCACAATACCAGCCCCCCTCAATGACATCTCTTAAGAGGAAATATTTCATTAAGTATTTCTGACATACAGAATATTTTTTCCTATATTTTCTTAAAAGAGAAATATAAGATCAAATTCTTACTCTTTTAAATGCCACTAAAGATGTTCTTAAAGTTCATTTGTCAGATTGTATCAAGAGTCTTGGTGCTTCACCACATCTAGTAAATTTTCTTATATTTACCTGAAACAAAAAATTTAGGAGGGCATTAATCTTAGTGTTACTTAGAATAATGTTAACTGCTACTCCGCACTGAAGCCAGATTTAAAGTTAGGTAGTCAGTGTAGTTAGGTAAGTCGGGTCTAATATCGAGTGAAATCTAAAATGGAGGCCATGTTGAGAATGAATTTCCAGAAAAGTTGAACAACTCTTGAAATGTTAATGAAGCCCAGGAAACAGCCCCCAACAGATTTGAAGATAGCCCATCCCAAAGAAATGTTAATGAACAGCAAACTTGACTCGGAAGTACCCAGATTACTTCTTTGGCTCACCTGTGTCCCAACACTCCGGACCTTCCCACCTACATTCCATCACCAAAAACTATAAAAAGCGGAACACATTCGCCCTTCAACGGATTCCACCTCTTGGGTCCCCTTCTTCCTCTGGGAGAAGTCTTTTCTGCTGTCCTTTAATAAACTTCTAATTTTCCACTCTGACCTTGCCTCTGCGTGCTTCTCTGGTGTTATTCAACATTGGGGAAGCAAGGACTCGTACTGGTCAACAGTGGTAACAGCACTATAGGAATTGTTAAACAAATCTGGTATAGCCATATGGCAGATTGCATAATTATCAAATTTTATTTTCAGAAAATATTAAATGAAAGATATGAAGGCCAGGTCAACTGCTTTTCCCATTGTTCCAAGAGGCTTCTTCATAAATTCCTTACTGGTACTACATAATCCCTCCTCCCTTTTGCAAAGATTATTGGACTTGGATGGACTCTAGGACTAGGGGCAATCTGTGGGAAGCCTGTTAAAATTGCGCAGACACTGAGCAAGGTGGAAGGAGAGGTTGGGGTAGACTGAAATGGTTTAAAGGTACAATGAGAAGAAATGACACCAGGAAGCAAGAGCCACAAGGGAATAGAAGTATAATCAGAAGAGCAGCAGTATCAGTGGTCTTAAAGCAAGACGCAAAAAAAAAAAAAAAAAAAAGAAAGAATTGACTATTTAAAAATGTTTGTATATATTATATTCATATTGAGCAACACTGAGAAGGAATCCAAAATTTCTATAATGGTGTTAAGACTACAAGTGATTTTAATTTTTCTAAGTCTCCTACAATGATCGTAATTAAACAAAATACAAAAACAATGGTCTTAAAGGGGGATGTAGCTCAGAAGGTAGAGTGCTTGCCTAGCCTGCATAAGGCCCTGGGTTAATCCCCAGCATTTCAAAACAAAAAACTGTTGTAAAGAGTTAAATAGGGGTTGGGATACAGATCCGTGGTAGAGCACCACTTGCCTAGTATGTACAAGGTTCAATCCCCAAAAAGTTAAATAAAATGAAGACCATTGTTGGTTGAGAATTCCAATCAGGAAACAAGTTGTATGTGATCAAACTGATTAGCCAACAGAGGTTCAGAAAAAGGAGACTTTCTCTTTTATTGAATTTGTTTTTCCATATTTTTATTTTTGCTTTACAATTATACGTAATGGTACGATTCATTTATTCATGCACACTATGTAACAATTCATTGGTTGATATCTTTGCCTAGTATTTCCCTTTCCTCTAGAGAAAAGAGAATTTCTGAGATTATAAATGGCTTCGGGGAAAAGGGGGCACTTGGATTGGGTCTTTAAAGCCTAAATTGATGTGAATAAATGAAGGAGGAGCTGAGTTGGGAAGAAAACAAAGACAAGCTGAGGTAGAGAGTACTGAATAGTACATCCTTGATAAAATGTCTTTTATAAAGATTATAAACTAGACAGAGGGAATGGAGGAGACTGGAGGGACATTATCTGAAGATTATAATTTGTAATTAAAGAGAATAAATGTTTGTTTTTGTATTTGTGGTGCTGGGGATAGCACCCAGGCCCTTGTGCATGCTAGGCAAGTGCTCTGCCATTGAGCTACATCCCCTGCCCAAGAATAATGCTTACAGCATAGTTTTTTCTTTATTTTATTACTATTAATATTTATGCAACTTTTAGATATCCCCAGCTACCAATTTATTCCTGGCCTAAATAATGGTACTTTCCAGCTCTAGGACCTCCCTATTGCAATCCAGTTTTTACATAGCTGTCTTCCTCATTCTTATCCTTTAATTTTCAAATTTGTTTTTAACCATTTCACCAAGTCTAAAGTTTTTATTATAACATTAAAAAAAAAATGCCTCTTTCCCTTCCCACCTTCATCAACTGATGTCTCCAAACTTACCTAGTATATCCTCAAAAATCAGCCTTTCCCCAAACTGGCCTTTGGACCGCTAAGAGGAGAGCCCCTTTATGGTCTTTCACACTTCAGGCACTTTCCATCTTTAAATCAGGGCAGATGTTTATCTACTAAGTAGAAAGTCCTCCAAGTTTTACTCCTGCAAATCATCACAATCAGCCTCTTTCAGGGCTGTCTGAAACAATCACCTCCTGGGACTACTTTCCTGGTAACCAGGCTTCCAGATTCACATCCCCCAACCCAGCAGTACATTATTATGCACTCACTGCTTTTGTTCTGAATTCTGAGCCTGGTTCTATTTGCAAAGTAACCTTTTGCCCCATTTGTATACTTCTCAACAGCTCTTAATATAGTCTGGGCCAAAAATACTTTTAAAAGTTCTAATGAATTAACAAAATTATAAGTTCCCTAATATGGAAGTAATGTATCAGGGGTTTCCCTTGTTTTTACAGTCCTCAAATTGGGAGAAATGACAGTTTGCCCTTTTCCCAAGGCAAACAATTAGTTTCCTAAACAATTTACATTACCGGGGATATAACTTTTTTTTTGAGACAGGGTATTGCTAAATTGCCAAGGTTGGCATCGAACTTGCAGTCCTTCAGCCTCTGCTTCCCCAGCAGCTGAGATTACACTATGGCAGACTAACAACATAAATTTTAATGATTCTGTTCCCTAATTGGTATATAACTACTTTTTTCTGAATTACAACACAAACTATGCTGAGAGAAGAGAATGAATGAATTACAGAATTCATTCCATAAAACCTAGAGGTACTTTTTATGCTTAGTGTTTGTTTTTAGATTTTTACATATTTTTTTTGGGGGGGGGGGACTGGGAGTTGAATCCAGGGTTTTATGAATGCAAGGCAGACGCTTTGCCACTGAGCTATATCCCAACCCAGATTCTTATATTTTTTTAAATTTTCTTAGTTGTAGATGGACACAATGACTTTATTTTAATTTATTTTTATATGGTGCTGAGGATTGAACCCCATGCCTCACACACATGTTAGGTGAGCACTCTTACCACTGAGCTACAGCCCCAGCCCTAGATTTTTTTCTTTTCTTTTTTTTTTTTTTTAGAGAGAGATGGG